TGTTGTTAAATAATGATTTATTTCTTATCAACTAATGTTGAATTCTGTAAAAATTTAAATTTCTAATTGGAACAAAAGATCTGAAATAGCTCTCCTGGTCAATTCTTCAAAACAATGCTTTAATTTCTATTTTCTTGAATAAAAAAAAATTAACAAATGAATAAATTTGAATGGATTTCTACTTGAAACACAAGGAATTTCTTCCTTTCCCACAATTTTTTTTTCGTTTTTTGGTTTTTCTTTCAGTAAAGTTAGTTTAAAAATTAATCAATTTGTGCATTTATATTCGATTTGTTATTTTAAAAGTGAAATATAGAAAAGAAAATGAAAATGGCAAATTAGTGCAAATTTTGATAAAATAAATGGCTTTTAAAATTATTTCATATTATAAAAAAGTTCATATTTTTTTTATATGAACGATGAATAATTGCTTAAACACGTTGACAAACTAACTAATTGCTTTATCAAAATAAATTTCATAAAAAAAATGCTAAAGATTCGAAAGATTATAAATCAAAATTTTGAAATTTAATTCGTATTATTTCTGACTGAAATTTACATCAAATAGTATATAACATTTCATTTATGAAATTCAAAAAGGTTATTCATTATAGCAATTCAAATTTCATCTGTGTATATTCACTGTTCCTCCAAGTAACACGTTGAATTTAAAAATGTGATGAAAATTGACTACGAATTTTTCCGAGAATAACAAATTAAATCAATAAATTTTATAATAAACTTCATAATTGCATTAATTTGTTTATTGTCGCAGCAATTTTAATTGTAAAAATAATATTTAAATTACTTGCAAGACAACAGTTTAAAATTTTTGATCCTTTGCAATTTTCTTCAGTCATAATAATTATAATTGTAAATAAAAGGTCAATTTAAAAAAATAATATTAAATAATATTTGGATGAAAAAATTTTCAAACTTCAATCACATTCAATCATTTAAAACATTTTTTTCATTGTTTCACTAAATCAAAACTTTGATCAAAACATTTATAATAATTTAATATAATATTATGTGTGATAAATACTTTTAAAATATAAATTATTTTTAACAATTCCGATTAGATTCAACACAAAATTGTTAATTCAAAAATTTTCTTTCTAAAAGCAAAAGTGAAAAGAAAAGAAAAAAATCTTTATTTTAACCAAAATTGAAAACTATTGTTTGTTATAGCTCAAATATCTGTTTGCCATATTTCTTTCACTATCAATTTGCGCTTATTTCTTGAAATATCAGAAATAATTTCACCTCCTTAAATTTCAAAATTCTTATTTAAGACTTTTTCATATATTTTGAAACAATTTTAATTATACATTATTGATCAGCTTATGTCTAAAAATTTCTATCTTAAATTGATTCTTTCTCTTCTTTTTTCATTGTTGCATCACATGACTCATTATAATGCAGAAAAATTACATTCTCAGAAGTATATTTTACCAATAAATTTTGTAAATTGAAAAAAATTTATTGTTTTCGTGTAGTGAAGTTATTCCATTCAATTTGACGTCGATAACTGTTAATTTTAAGAATTGCATATTGAAGTAAGTGCCTTGTTTACTACTACCTTTCAGTTATTAAATTATTCATTTTATTGGCAAAAGAATTAAAAGAATTGCTAATTCTTTTCCCTATTAATTCAAAAACATTGAATTGTATTCAGAATACGTTATTCCAAAGCTTTTTATGCAACATTTATAAGTGAAGTTAAATGCTTGTTGATTTTCAAAAAATGTTTCAAAGTTTAATTTTGTTGCTCTATTTATGATAAAAAATGATAATGATATAAAAACAATTAGAAAATAATTGCAAAAAAAATAATATTTATCAAAAATAACAATAATAATCATTAAATGACGCAAATGTGGTTGCATTGGTAAAAAATGTAAAACGTACAAGTAAATCAATAATTTGAAATTAAATTCTCCACTAGATCTGTTGAATTTCTTACCTTTGTACAATATGATGCATACTTATAGCTATAACTTATGTTCACGTGGACTATCACGTAGTTCTTCTCGTGATCAACTGAATATGATTTGAATCATTCTTTAGCTCACTGTGTCTTAACCCACTTTGTGTTTTTTTATTATTTTCATTTCTAATCAATTTAAAATATTGCTCTTCTATGATAAAATGATAAGGTGATAGGTAATTCATCAATATATACATATATAAAATATGAGTAGTATTTTTAAATGATGCAAACTGCATGCTATTGATTTCTCTGTGATATTTCTTAAAAAGGCAAAAAAAAAAAAGCATTGAAAAATTATTTTTGCTTTTGAAATGTTCCAGTTCGTAATTTCATAAGAGAATATAAAATATCAATGAAAGTTTATGGTACTTTTCCTTTCTTTTTTTTTATCAACAATTTATCATTAATGATAAATGAGAGAATGTGAAGGAGAAAAGTATGAAAATAGGATATACCAACTTTTGTAACATTTAAAAAAGTATTCATCAGATGTGCCTGATGAATACTTTTTCAATCATTCTAATACATTAAATGTTATTTTTTGATTTCCTATATTTATTATTAATGGAAATAAATCTCATTTTATTATTTTTTTGATTACATATTTCCAACAAGAATTATTATTTTAATAGTAGTAATAATAATAATAAAAAAAAAAAAATGAAATGAAAAAAAATTTTTTAAAAGATCAAATGAAAAAAACAAATTATTTAACAGCTGAAAATTAGTAGAAATATTATTAAATATTTCATTGCATTCTCATTAATTGTCACGAATACTTCATTTTATCTTATTGTATGAATCAGTTGAAAAAAATGTTTGATAATTGTGTTTACTCTTTCAATATATTTTAAAAATTAAATGAATTTGAATTTGCATATTACACTTTTCCTTAGCTTTTCTCCGTTTCTTTGCTAACTTTATCTAATCAATTTAATTGCACCTTTCACTATCACATCACATCTTATCACAATTTTACTATCAATAGATTTTTATCTAAGACAAATTGGTAGCAATGTTAGCTCATATCAGAAATGTCAATAATATCTGTTTCGTTATATATTAATTCATTATTTCAAATGATAAAATAAGGACTTTTTTAAATGATTTTGAGAAGAAAGCAAAATTTGGTTAGTTTTTCGAATAATTCTAATATATTATTAAATTTTAAAGCATTGCTAATCAATTATTTTTACTTTCCTCAAATATGGTAAGATGAATTCCTCGTCTATTAAATTTTCTTCTGCAATGATTTTTTATTAAAATTTTTTATTTTCTTTAATAAGCTTTTTTTTAATTTTTTACATCTAATAATTAAGTTAGCTTTTTAAATTTGCTAATAAAAAATTAAAATACAATTATAAAGTTTCTATTTTTAGCACGACCATTTGTTGATAAATTAATAGAAGTAAACACATATACGTACGTACAGACCAGAAAAATGAAACGTGAAATTTCGAATGAGAAATTATATTTTATATTTGATTATTACTATTTTTATAATGTAAGAATAAATTATTTTAGGACAAAAGTATTAGCGTGAATTTACGTGATCTGAAGAATTTTTTTTAATCGAATAAATTCTTCAAATTTTCTTGTATAATTAAAGCTTGCTTAATTTTTCTTTTTACATTCCTTAATTATGACTGAGTTAAATTTTTTCAAATGAAATTCCATTATGATCTTTGTTTACCACTTTCCCCTCATTGTTTACAGTATTATTCTTATCTTGATAACGTATTCTTGATAACGATAAGCGTATATCTTCTTATTAGCGTCTTTTTTTACGTGTCTAACATAGAAACGGCATGAAAATTTTATTAATTTTCGTTCCAATTCCTTAAAACTACAATTACAAATCAAAATTTGGTTTAATTCAAATACAATTTTGTATGTATTTTGAATTCAATTATTCATTAAATATTTAATCATTTTTTATAAAACTTTTTTCTCTCTCAAGTAATAACTTATCTTCTTTTTCTTCCATTCATTTGCCATATTTGCTGCTATCTGATTTGAAAACAGAGAAAAAAAATACTTTTCATATCAATTTAATACAACTTTTTAACATGTGATATAAAATTTCAATTTGTTGTTTGTGATTTAATAAAAGTATTCCTCCTATTTTAAGTAACAATTTGTCACTTTATCCTTACTTCTTTAGAAATTCTCCTTACTTTACTTTTATAAATATTTGCTCTGTTTTACTTTTGAATACATTTCATGAATTATCATATTTTTTCCTGCACATACATACTTATTTTTCATTTATTTATTAAAATATGTATTTACTTTTATGTAATTAATAAGGTAGAGAAGAAGAAATCCGAAGTAAAACGGTAGAAATTAATTAAAATTAGTAACAATGAATTATTTGATAAAGATGATAGAATTAAGATTAAAATTTTAATTATTTTTCATTTTATTTATTTATTTGTTTATGTTAATTTTTTTTCTTTCATAAATTTAAGATTATTTTAATCTAACACTTCCATGAAATTGGTATGAAAATTTGCTTAGTTATTTGTTGGATGATAGTACCATCAAAATCTCTGCATAATTCCTAAGAGAATTTCAATATTTATTACATTTCAAGACAAAATGGAAGAAGTATTCTTGAAGAATTTGTTTCCCAAGCAAAAATGAATGTTTGTTAGTAATAAAATCGTTCCAATTCAATCCTTTTTATTACTAAAAATAGCCTATCCTAACGATTAAATATTCATTTTGTACAATAAATTGAATATGTTATTTGTTAGTTTAATCATTTAATATTAACATTTGCTTAATAATAATTTTATTAAAAAAGAAAAATTATTGCTCTTTCAAAAAAATTATTATTTATCATATGTTTATAGTTATTAACAAGTAAATGAAGCACTTTGTTGAATTATTTATCAGTTATTTTGTTTGCTCATTTTAGGTATATTTATTATTTGATACAGTTTACGAAAGCATTTAAATCTTGTAAGCCTATAATTTGAAAATATCACTAATATCAGTGGTAATGCTTGTGTGGCATTCCGGTTTCCTGATACTGGTTCTGCTTATCATGATGATTGTATTCGGTAACTTCGTCGTTCTTCTTGCCGTACTCATTGATCGTGAATTGAGACGATTAGCAACTAATAAATTTATTGCAAGTTTGGCTGTCTCTGATCTTCTTGTCGGAATTGTTGTTATGCCATTATCACTTTATGCTACGGTAATGATTATCATACAAATTACTAAAATTGGAAATGCTCTGATAAGTGTAGAAGTAGTGATAAGAAAATTTGAGAGTCAGATTAGATCACAAAATATCTCAAATACTTTTCATTCTTTTCTTTTTTTTAAAACGGAATAATGAGTTTTGCACTAACAATTTATTATACACAGAGTTTCTATGGTATATTTATTCAGTAATATAAGTTAATATTGATTATTTTTTGAATTCTTATTCAACTTTACTAATTTAGGTAAATGAAATTCGGTGGAATTTAGGTGATCGTTGGTGTCAATTTCATTTAGTAACTGGAGTTTTTTCAACAACTGCTAGTATCGTTCACCTTACTGCAATAAGCTTAGATAGGTAAAAAATTTTTTAATATTTTTAAATTTATCACTTATCAATAGATAATTTCATATCTATAGCTCATTCGAAAACATTGAAATAGTCTATATCTATATTTTATTGTTATATGCCTATATTTTATCTAAAATTATAAAATAATTTTAAAGTCTAGAATGTACTTCTTTCTCTCATTTATTTTTTTTTAAGTGATTAAAAATTAAAAAAGAAAAGGTAATAGTTTAACTAATTAATTGAAATTCATGAATTAAGATATTTTGCAATAATGTTCCCAACAGAATATCAGCGCCATTCAGTGGCTACCAGTACATTTGCTTATATTATTATGATATGGCTTGTATCATTCGCTGTTAGCAGTACACTTTTTATGGAAAAGTCATTGGATGAAGATGGATTTTGCTGGACTAAAAATCCGCAATATTTGGTACTTTTCTTCATATTTTTTTTATTTAAAACTTTTTTTTTTTTATTCTTTATTTATAAATGATGACATTTATTAGAAATATTTGTGTGCAGCTGCGAAAAAAAAATCTGAACTTTTTTTATTTTAACTAATTGAAAAAATTTTTTATTGTTGATAATAAAAGGGACAATAATTTAAGCTACACTCTTTGTTTATTTAATTCATTTGAGTTTTTTCTTTTGCTTTAAAAATTAGTAAACATATATATATTTTTGAGGTGTTGTCATCTTTGTTATCATTTTTCATTCCTGGCGCTATTGTCGTCTTCTTATATGTTAAAATATTTCGAAAATTACGTAGCCATCGTTTGTACATATTTGGCCAAATGGGTTTATTAAAACGACAGCAAAATAATCCTTCCGGGCAGAAAAATGACAAAACACAATGCTTACCAATGGTTACAGTTGAAGAGGTTTATCATTAAAATTTTCTTAATTTATAAAAAAAAATTTTTCTTTTTTTAAAATTATTCTTCCTTTGCGAATATCTAAATTTTATTAATGAATCGAATTTAAGTATTAAAATTATCAGTGAAATTTTTATATAATTAACATTAAAACATTATATATAACTTTTTAAACTTAATCAATGCGCAAAGATTATTTATAAAAATTGAATTTTGAGGTTATTGGCCAACATAGCAGTGTAAATCTTAGCCAAGTTAGCAATACTGATGCTAATGAGTGCACTTGGAATAGTAATTTAGAACAACAACTTGAACGATCATCAAATCAACCCAATGCTACTGCACAAAGGTAGAAAAAATCCTCTACTCATAAAGTAAAGCAAAGTAAATAGCAAATTTAAATTCATTTTAAGACACAAATAATTTTTACTTCATTTTCATAATCATTCTGTCCCTTTTTTTCAAACTAAGAATGAAAGATTATCAATTGAATGAAATCATTCAAGACAGTTAGAAATGAGATATTGAAAAAATTTTCAATTTCAATTTTAAACCATCAATCATCTTATGCAATAAAACTATTATTGTTGAAAGCTGAATGTTTGTTTGTTTGCCGTCTTTTTTAAAAAAAAAAAAAAAGATTGAAAATTTGCTAGTTAAAAAAATCAAATATTAAAATAATACTAAGAAAGTGAGTCGAAGTTCTAATGATGGGTGTGTTAAGTACTGATATTAGGTGCGAATTGAATTTTAATTAAATAAAAAATTTTAAGTGAACTGTGTCGTTTTTAATTTATAATAGAGAATATTTTGAGAGACCTCAAAGAACTTTTTTTTTGCTTTAAAATGATTTAGAAATTTTATTTGTCTTAGATGCTCTTCACAAGCTGCAATAGATGAAGCATTAACAAAGGATCATTTGATGGCAACAGAAAAACAGTCCACTATCATGCTTGACTCGTCAATTGTAGAATTATCAGCAATAAATGAAAATTATCAATCAGTAGGTAATGTACTTAACATTATCAGTGAAAATATTGAAAATATATCTATCTATCTATCTATCTATCTATCTATCTATCTATCTATCTATCTATCTATCTATCTATCTATCTATCTATCTATCTATCTATCTATCTATCTATCTATCTATCTATCTATCTATCTATCTATCTATCTATCTATCTATCTATCTATCTATCTATCTATCTATCTATCTATCTATCTATCTATCTATCTATCTATCTATCTATCTATCTATCTATCTATCTATCTATCTATCTATCTATCTATCTATCTATCTATCTATCTATCTATCTATCTATCTATCTATCTATCTATCTATCTATCTATCTATCTATCTATCTATCTATCTATCTATCTATCTATCTATCTATCTATCTATCTATCTATCTATCTATCTATCTATCTATCTATCTATCTATCTATCTATCTATCTATCTATCTATCTATCTATCTATCTATCTATCTATCTATCTATCTATCTATCTATCTATCTATCTATCTATCTATCTATCTATCTATCTATCTATCTATCTATCTATCTATCTATCTATCTTATCTATCTATCTATCTATCTAATCTATCTATCTAATCTATCTATCTATCTATCTATCTATCTATCTATCTATCTATCTATCTATCTATCTATCTATCTATCTATCTATCTATCCAACTGATCTATCTGAAGATCAAACATTCGAGAGCTAAAAAAAGGAAGTTATTCTTTACAATATGCATATTCCAATAAATTGAATGAAATAATCAAAAAGGAACAGTTGATAATCTTTTAAGATAATCAATGCCTTCTATTGGATCATATGACCTCTTTCCCAGATGAAAATTCTTCGCAACATTCAAATACTGAAAATCTTCTAAAGTCATCTACAGAGAGATGCTTAATATCTCGAAATGATTCGATGAAGGTACCCGTTGTTAGTGTTTCCTTCAAGTAAGTTAATTTTGTTTTTAAGTATGACAAATAAAATCAGTAGTTCCATAATTAAATATTTAGTATTACAAAGAAAAATTATCAATACTTCTTCGTTCTTTTTAATACTGTATGAATAATTTCAAGAAAAAAGAAGAAAAAAATTATAATAAATGTTTACACTTGCAGTGATTCAAAAACGCTCGATGATATAAAAGATTCGAAGGAATCATTACCTATCGTAGAATCATCAATGTTTTTAGCTTTACCAAAATCTGCTAACAGTTTCCCCTCTACATCCACATCATCAGTATCAACTGCTCTTTCTCTTAAAGTTAGCACTGAAGTATAAAAGTATAATTTGAGAGTATAATTTATATTTAAATTTTAATCAAACATTTAAGGAAAGTTAAAAAAAAAAAAAAAAAAAAACGTTGATAATTTTTTACTTTAACTAAATGAATGAAATTTGATTAAAGGTACCAAAATGGGATTGTTGTACAACTCCTACTTTAACAGTACACTCGAATTCAAGTCGCAGTTCATGCACTTCAACAAGTGATAGTGGTGATATTTCTAGGTTATTTTTTCTTTCTTTTCTTTTCTTTTTTCTTTTAGGACGAGCATTTTTAAATTTTATAAAATTAATTAGTTATAAGATAAGCATACGTGAAAAGTTTTATTAGGATTTTTTTTTATTTTTATTAGGTTTATGGGGTAAATGAATCCTAGTATCTTTTAATAATGAGTCCTAGAAATTTATGTGATGAATGAAATTTAGAGTCCCCATGCTAGTATAATCAAGTACGAATCGTTTTAAAATCTTTATAAATTAGCGAGAATTTTGAAAGCGCACTTTTTCGTAGATATTTTAGAGCACAGATTTCAGAAGGATTTCAATGAATAGTTTTGATACCAGTATTACGGAGGATGGTACTGATAGTACAGCTGAAACACCGAACTCTAGGTTAGAAACAGTTTTGCTTTTTTTTTTTTAGTCAGTAGAGTTAATTTAAAAAAAGAAAAAAAAGTTTTGCAAACTAAAAATTTTTTTATTCTAGGAAAATAAGTAGTACGTGGCCAACATTACGTACTGTCATAAATGCGCATGATATAACTTCGTTAGCTACTTCTAAAGATCCGATTACTGATACGGCTTCCGGATCAACTCGAAGAGCAACGTTATCACGCGGAAGATTGAGAAAAATTGCTGTTCAGGTGAATGATAAGAAAATTTTTTTTTTTTACAATTACCTGAAAACCACTCATAATTAATTACTTTATATTACAGCATCATATATATTTTGTTTGTAAGAAAAAAAAATTTTTCAAGTAATCAATTTTGTGTGGTAATAATTAATTAATTCTAAAAAAAATAGCAAATTTTGGAACTGAATCCTCTACACAAAGTAATTATCGCAGGTAACGCGAGCAATACGTCGAAAACGTCGTGAATCATTGGCAATAAGACGTGAAACTCGTGCAACAGGTGTTGTTGCTGCTATACTTAGTAAGTCCTGGCCTTTTTTATATATATATATATAATTTTTTATTGTTATTACTAAGTAATAAATAACATTAAAAAAGATAACAAAATAATTTTTAGATAATGGTAGAGAGAGAGAGAGAGAGAAGGAGAAAACCAAAGAAATAAGAGAAAATAATATACTGCCACTTTTAAAAGAAAAAAATCTTTTTTTTATTAATTAATTCTTTTATTCATCAAAAAATTGCAATTATTTTTCCTAATACTACTAATTGCTTTTTACATTTCAATTCTTAATTATTACTTACATCACAAGTAATAATTTGTTGACTTAAATGAATTTACTTCTACTGCTACTAAGTAATAAATAACATTAATATATTTCACAATTTCAGTTGCATTTTTAATTTGTTGGATTCCATATTTTTGCATAGCAGTATACCGCGGTGTTTGCACTGGTCTTAATATTCAATTAAATGAAAGTCTTCACGTCAATTTATTTATGCTATCATCGTGGCTCGGTTACGCACATTCTTGTTTCAATCCAATCATTTATACATGTTTGAATAAGAATTTTCGTCGTACAATTAAACAAATGATTTGTTATTTCTGTCATAAAAATCGTAAAAATTTATAAATAATAATTGAATAAATTTGTTGTTTTGTTTTTTTCTGCTCATTAATTCATTGACAAACAACAACAAACAACAATAAACAACAACAAAACAACACTAATGATAAATAGATGTATAAGAGAATGCAAATCATTTTCAAACTGTTAATAGCACTGCAAAATTGTTTAGCACTTTTTTTTGCAAAAAACTTTCGCGTTCCAAAGCAATAAAAAAAATTTAATTTTTTTCAATATTTCTTCTTTTCCAACACATTTTTCATTTTTTGCATTTTTTTTTTTATTGAAAAGTAAAAATTTTTAATAATTTTTAATCCTATCATAAGTTTTTTTTTTTTTTTTTTTCTGATGTATACAAATAATTTGCATAGGAAAAGGATTAAAAAATTTTTCTAAAAAAATAGAAATTTATGAAGTGAAGAAACAATTTTTATATTGCAATTTCAGTGAAGCTATTGCAAAACATGATGATAATTTCAAATTTTCAAAAAAATTTAAAAACATGAAGAAATTTTTGTAAAATGAATTATTTATTAGTATGCGAGAAAAAATTTTAAAAGATATTTCATTTATTGAATATTTCTGCAACATTTAAATTATAAAATTTTATGAAATTTTTTTCTTAATATTTTGTAAATGATCCTTCCTTATGTAAAAATGTTTTGAAGAAAAGTGCTTGATGAAATTTTATTATTTATATTACAAATGAAACATTTAATGCCTCTTAATAAGTATCGATTTTTTTTTGTCAACAATTGTAGTTATTTGTGTTGTCAACCTTTTTACGTCATATGAAAATGAAATTAGTGCGACATACTTAAATGTATTTGCCTTATGCTTAAGTATTTTTCAATTAAGAATGAGAAATAAAAAGATCCAATGCATACATTATAAAGTTTTGTTGAAAACAAAAAAAAAAAATGTTTGAAACAAAAAAAAAAAAACAAAAATAATTATAAACCTTCCAAAATATTTTCCCATTTGAAATTGAAATGTTTTTTTTTGGAATGAATAATATATCTTATCATATCACTCCTTCCTTTTTTTATCAATTGTTGACAGATCTTTATTTTGCTGCAAATGGAAAATTCGGTTAGCTATAAAATGTAAAAGTTAAAAAAAAGTGAAAATATATTGCAAAAGCTTTTTGCAAATAAATAAATTTTTATATTTATTTAAAAGGAAAAAATTTATATATAACTTAGAGCACTGGAAGAATTTTTAATTGTGAACTGAAAAGAGAAAGATATAAGAATTAAAAATTTTTGAATTAATCAATTATCGCTCTTTTTCATACACAATTTAAAGTTTATTCATTTATTTTTTATTTTCATTGCGACTGATCAAAATTTTGAATTTATTCAGAAAGTCTTTAAAAATATGTTATCAATTAGTGCAACTTCACTTAATGATAAAACAATTCTAAATTGGATCAGTATTACTCTTTAAATTGGAATATAAGTTTGCGTAAAAGTTTCTGTACTAATTAATTCATGAAGTATTTGTTATAACAATGAAAAATCACAAAAGGAAAAATAGGCTTATGAGAGAGAGAGAGAGGGAGAGAGAGAATATTAGTAATATGTTTAATATGATTTAAACAGGATAAATAATAAAGTTGAGAATTATCAGTAAAATTTTGTGGGCAATTATAAAAATTCGACGAGGAATTTAGAAACGAAAATTGTTATTTGTGCTGTATGTCCATTTGCGCTGTATAACCAATAGTTTGCGCCATTTATCATTCGTGCAACCTTTTTTCTCTTTAATTAAAGATAAAAATGAATTACTTAAAAAAAGCTTTTTCTAAAACTCTAAGCAGTGAACTTAGGCATTTATTTGCATTTAATTGCAAATATTTAAAAAAAAAAATTTGCTTCGAATGTTAAACAACAAGGCTGAAAATTAAGAGTATAACAGCTTTTTTCGTTTTTTCTGCTTGGCTAAACTTTCTGAAAGTCAAAATTTCCGTAATTATCTTCACACGGCAATATTTGATAACTTTCACTTGAAATTAAGTAGAAGAAATAAATAAAATAATTAAATGCAATTTTAATGGTTGCATTTTCACAATTTTATTCATCTCGAATAGTGATAATAATAACAATAATATTAATATTAATAATATTAATAATAATAATAATAATAAATATAAACAGTGTTGTTAAATTAGCGGTGCATAAGTTGGCCCAAGATAGACAAAAAATAACCTCTTATATTAAAATTTTGTATTTTTAGTTTATTTGTAAAAGAAATATTAGTAAAGAGAAAAAAAAAGATTGAAATTTCAGCTAAAACATTACATTTCAAAAACGGTAGTGTTTTTCATAATGACGAGCAATGATAAAGAAACAGTATTATTATCATAAAATAAGTTTTGAAAAATGTTTAGATTTTTTCGAAACGAACAATCATTTATTGTTCGTTCTTTCAGCATTATTTTTTTTAAAAAAAAAAAAAAAAACGCACCAATACCTTTTTTAGTAAATATTATTTATTAATTTTGATTAGTTAAATTCAAAACAAAGTGTCATCTGATATCATTGCATTTTGCATGTTTTATCAATGTAAATACCGTTCTAAATGAATGGTATTTGCAATTTTTTGATTTTTTCACAGTGGAAGTTAAAATTTTGAATGTTAGAATTAAAATTTTGATTAAACAAAGTTTCATTAAAAATTTTATATTTTTCATAATAAATTTTCTTCCTTTGTTAGTTACGTGACTTACTGGACACTTCTATTTTTGGCTATTTGCAGAATATAAAAAATTAATTTATCATTTTAGATTAATTCCTACTGAGATCATTAAATATACTATAAGAATAATCTGAATCAAGAAAAAAGAATAAATTGAATTGGAATCATTAAGAATATTTTGTATTCAATTCATTTCTTTTTCGTATTATTAATGAAAATGATTGGAAAGTCTTTTTAACCACTTAATTGAATAAAAAATGTTTACTATTTATGAAGCATTCATGAAAATTGCACCAATTTTTAAAAAATTATTTTAGCAGATCATAAATAATTGTGCAATTTTGGAAAATTGTTGTTTCATTAAAATAAATTAGAACAGTGATTTAGGTCAGATCACTTTATGACCTATTCTTTTATCTGATTGTCATCCTTTTTTCTTTTTACTTCTTACAACTTTTATGTTTTCATTTAAATTTTAGATTTGAGCAAATAATTAATTTGAAATGAAAGTTATAACTTTTATTTCCTAATGATTGAAGTAGCAATTTAATGGTTATTTGCATTGTCTTTGCATCTTGCGCACAACAAATACTTTTCAAATTTCGCTGAAGGATTTAATATTTGAAATTTATTAAAGTATATTGAAATTGGATGAAAATATCTTTTAATTTATATTTTTTTTGGAAAAATGCGAGGAAAACATCAATGCAAAAAACAAATTTCTATTTAACCTTAAACGTTTCCGTTTCTCTTTTTCGTTTTTTTTTTTCCTTTTTTTGTTTTTTTTTGCCTTTTTTGGATACGAATGAATGAATTTTTGTCACTTTTGTTGGATATATTTGGACGATATTCGAATAAATTGACGAAATGACAGCGCAATCATTTATTTTTTACAAACAAAATATATTTTTATAGCTGAACAGAAATTACTTTAATAGAAATAAATTTTAGTTCTCTCTAAAAACAACAGGAAGTTATGATTTTTCAGTGATATCGTCGAATCAAAAAAATATTCTCCGTAAAAGTTAGCTAAGCCATTAAGTGTTAGGTATTTGATAAGGTTTAATTAGTAGGGAAGTCTCAAAAATTTTAAGCAAAATTCTCATTTACTGGACAATAAAATTTTGGTGCAAAATTATCAAATTAAAATATTGCTCTAGTTTTTTCGTATTCAATTTGAGAAAAATTCTCAAATTTTAATGAAAAAAATATTCTCCAACAAGCAGTTGTTCGTTAAATTGTTAGATTGGACTATTTTCTTATTCATTTTTATGAATAAAATACTTTTGTTCAGTTTTTAAAACTTATTTATCGATAATGACTGACATTACCGCCGAAACGGATACATTTGAATTCTTCGAGAAAGCTAACCCACAAATATTTTTTTTTTTTTTTTTTTTTTTGCACCACGAATATTTAATTTTGACGTGTTGTGACACGTATCATTTTCTTGCTATTTGTTTAGAGTTTTTGAAGTGTCACATAAAACTTTTGCGCTTCAATATTTATTTTGCTTTGAACGATGATTTTTGAGTAGAAATTTGCTTCCAATTTCACTTCTTATGCCTAGAAAATACAAATTTTTTTTTTCTTTAACTGCTCAAAAAAGAAAAAAGAATCATCGTTTATCATTAATTTGTTCTAAAAATTTAACTTTTTTGTAATGTAAGAAATTTCAGTGTGAGTTTTCTCAAAATTTAAGAATTGAAGATGATGAAGAATTTCTGTAATCTTTGAAGTTATTCAAAAATTTTGAAAATTTTTAAGAAAAAAATAAGAATTTAGCTTATTTATTATTAATTCGCATCCAAGCTATCTTCTATAGCATATTGTTCTAACTAAATAATTTTTTAGTCAAATTTGTGTTTTTCTAACTTTTTTAAAGTCTAAAAAAAGACACAACTAACATTTTTTTAGTTGTTGTTTTGTAGTAAAATATTTCGGAATATTTTTTTCTTAAAAAGCATTTCTAAATGAAAAATTATTAATAAATATTTTAAATAACAAAATTTTTCAGAATGAAAATACCTTTCTACTTGGTAATCGTTATTGCACCAACAATGGCTTTTCAATGTTTTCGATGCAATAATGGAATTGATGATAAGAATGATAATGTTAAGCAATGCATTGATCAGGTTATCTCGTTTATATTAGTTGTGAGTTGGAGATTAAAAAATATGAAAATATTTGATTATTACTTTTGAAATTGGCTAAATTAAAAGAATGGTTTGAAAATATTGTTTAAGTGAACGTAACAGATATAATAGAATTTAAAGTTTTAAGAAACATTGAAAATATGTAAATGTTTCTTTTATGATTGCATGCAGTATTTGTTAATTTATTGGATTAAACTTTATTTATTTTATTTGCAATTTCTAATTCTGTTATTATATACGTAAACAGTTTTCATTTTTTTTTTTTTTCGTTTCTTGATAAATTTGTTTTTGTATTATTTCATATTCTTCGCAGAAAATTGAATGTCCAAAAGGTACAAAAAGTTGCTCAACAATTTTGTATACATCTGAAAAGGATAACGAAATTCATATTCGGAAATTTTGCACAACCCCGGGAACACCAATACCGCATTACCTTCGTTTATTTCCCAGTAGTGCTATATGTGAAAATATTTTTACGGTATTTATTTATTCTTTTCATATTTTAAAAATTACTTTTTTTTGCATTGTATTCTTATTTATTTTAATTTATTCTGTAATTTTGCTTAAATTTTGTGGATTTTGAACATTTAAATAACGGAAATTCTTAAATTATATCAGAAAAAAGGTATAGTAAAAAAAGAAATAAATGTTTAAAATATATGCATATATAATTAAGAAATGGTCTTAATAAAATCCTACATTTTGTATTATTTTAAAAAATAGAAAAATTTAGAACCAAGACGAGGTGCAACTTACGTCACTGCTAAAAGAAAGACGACGTCGTGAAGCGTCACCACCAGCACCACCTCGACAATACGTACGTATTAAAAGCAACGTTTATAGGTTTATTTGAAATTCATATCAAAAACATAATTTTTTTTTTTTTTTATAAGCTAGAAAATTACAATTATATTATATTACAGTACTGAATTATTTTGTTTCATAAAATTTGAATTACAATTATTTTGCTCGGACGTACTAAAACGATGATAATAGGTTCAATTATTAAAACTTTACATAAAATTTTCTTACTCTGCTTTATATTTCTCTTCTTCCAGCAAAAAATTTCAATTCTTTGTTATTTTAAATAATAACTAAATGTGAGAGCCAATTATTAAAATTAGAATAATCAATAATCTTTTTTCTAATTAATATTTCTCACTCAATTTGTATTGTTACGTTTTAAATTGTATTTACGATCAAAATTATAAATTTAAGTAAAAAAAAAGGAAAAATACACAGAGTTAGTAAAAGTTGAAACAGTTATGATTTTTAACTAATATAAATTTTGTTTTTGCAGAAGAATAATTTGCTATGCATATGTGCTACATCATTATGTAATGGTGGTATTCATAGAGAGATCATCGATAGGATTACATCTGATCCACCAAGGCATAATATCGATTTATCGCTACAGCAATTAAATGATTGATATTTTCATCGATCATTTCAAAAGGAAACATTTGTTTTAGCTTTCTGTGTATGTGTCACATCTCTAAACTTTTTCAAATTGTACATTCGAGATGAGATGATAGAAAAGGATGGATGAATAGTTTGAAATGTTTTTGTTGATTAATTCAAGTGAAAAATCTTAACTTAATAAACGAATGCATTGATTGATATGTGTTCCTAAAACATACGATATTTTTGCCCGATATTTGAAATTCTTAAAATTGGTATACAGGTGTCACCCAAACTTGTACAGCTCTCCTGTGTTCCAATTGCAGTTGCTTTTTTTTTAATTTTGTTTTTTGTTTCAAATACAAAATAACAGATACCTCGGATATTTTCATACCGAAAATTTGTCATTATTCAAAAGTCTTTTTTTTTTTTTGAATTCAAGCAACCAATCATTTGTTTGTTTGAAAATATGCGAAATTTATGCAAAAACTTTTATTAAAAAAAAATTAAAATACAAATTTGATGTGAACAAATAGATATTTATGAAAATGAACACTGAAATCTTTTAAGACTTTTTATCCCGTAACTTAAAAAAAAAGTTAGAACAAAAAAAAACAATGAAACAATATAAAATTAGGAACAAACAAACAAATCTCGAAGATCTAACCTTTTTTCATCATTTTGAATAGAAATCGGCGAAGAGTAACGAAAATATGGAAATACTTCTTAGTAAATACAGATTCTGCTATTAAATAATATGAGTAACAGGAAAAGTAATCAGAAGAAATTCGATGATGTGATAAATGGGAGTAGCAGAATGAAGAGGACAAATGATGATGGGAAGAACTGGATTACTGGATTAATTCAAGTGATGAATTTATCACAAAAGAAAATGAAATAAGAAAATTACATAAGAAATAGATATCCTTGATGAGAAAAATATTTAAAAAAAACCTATCCCGTAATTTTAAATAAACTGATAATTTGATCAGTAAAGGAATACCAAAGGAGTTACCTAAATTGTATGACTTCAAATGAAATCGGCATTTTAAACAATCACTGGAAAACATAATTGTAATAATCATAATGTATGCTAAATATTACAATCAGATTTTAAACTCCTATTGTGAATTATTTATAAATATGAAGCGAGTAATATATTAACTCTGATTATGAAATTACAAATATGAATGAGTAATATGTTACATCGGATTTTAAGAAAACTAATTTTTAGAAAATAACAGAAAAGCCAGATTATGTGTCCCTGAATTTTGTTTCAGTGCTCGTCACAACAATGCCCGCGCTGTAATCGTAGAAAAAAAAAATTTTTTTTTTTTGATTGGTAATTTGATGGAAAAATTTTGAGTGATGAATAGAATTATGAATCATAATACTTAAAGAGATTCAAGATTCAACACTGACTAACTACTTATTGCTGAGGTTAAATTTGATTTCGTTCTTGGAAATTTCTTGCTATTATTTGTTAATTTCTATAACGAGGCATCAATACCTGATACGAGGAAAAAGGAGAAAACACAAAGACAGATTAAAACGGATTTGTTGAAATTCAATATATACAAATAATAATACATAAAGGATCTAATCTTACACATATGGACAAAGGACTCTCAATAGTCAAATGGCATGCCGGCTGTTGATGTCGTGCATCAAGGATGACAGCAGATGGGAATAAATGAAATTCGAGAATAGTCCTTAAACTATCAGTCCGGTCAGTTGGTTGCATTTGTTTAACTTATTCTGCACTATTATAATTACACTACATTAACAATTTTAAACTATTAATTCACTCACTCATCCGTTATTAGTCTTGAAAGATTGATTGGCATAATCTTGCATTAGATTTGGCAAAAATTATTGTTTGGAATTTTCTTTAAGATTATTTTTTTAAAGAAATGGAATTAGGGATCAGAAAAAAAAAAATCTGTTTCAAATCCCACTGCTATATCAAGCTGCTGAAAGTCATAAAACCAATGACCTGATTTGAGTTTAAATTAGCAAAAATTGGAAATCTTTATAAGACTTATGAAATGAGATAGAAAAATTAGAAAAAAATTAGAAAAAAAAATTAGAAAAAAAAAAGCAAACTTTATAATCTAAAAATATTACAGAATGAACATGTTTCACAGCTAGCATTGACAATATCATTAACAGCTAAATAAACACAACGCTTTTAATCGGAACCGATTCGTAGGATATGTTTATGAATTTTTGTAGTCTCATGACAATCAGTCTTTTTGCCTTGTTCAACTACGACCACAGAATCTTCTAAAACGCATGCGGCTAAATCACATTCAATTGCTGAAATCAGAGATCGATAATTTACTAAATGAAACCAGAAATCTTGCATTATCAATTTGTTAAACCAAAAATAAGTGCGTTCAATGTATGTACTTTAGATTTACAATTCAATTTACCAAAAAAAAATATTTGGCAAAAAACTTACGATCCATTTCGTCTTCATTGTTGTCATTGCAAGTAGCGCAGAGTATCTAGAAACAATATTTTAATTAATAAAAATTTAGTTGCATTTCAAAAAGATTCAAATAGGAAACTGTCCAGGAAAAAAGATAGCATAATGGAATAATGGAATGAATGTTGCAGTTCTTCTAACTAGAAAAAAGAAAAAAGAATTAGAAAACTTAATGAAGTTACCGTTTCAGGATTTGAACGATGTCGTGCTTCATCATCTGTCGAATTATCTTCCGAAGTAGTTACACTGCCTTTCTTTTTCATTTTATTTTTGTGCTTTCGTTGGTTCTTTTTCTTTTGACTTAAAATAGATGAATTAGGCCGGAATGATCGCTCTTGCACTAAACGTTCACTGAATGATACACGCTTCTTTCGTGAATCTCCACCTGTAATAAATATTTACATTCCTTAAAAAAAATTTTGCCAAAATTCAAAAGAAAAAAAAAAAACACCAAACCCTATTAGAAATAACAGTAGAATAAAAAAAGAAATATAAAAAAATAAATAAAAAACCTGAGCTATTGTCATTATTCATGTCTGCAACAGTCACTTTCATTTCTTCAACCTCTCTACTTTCACATTCGGAATACGATCTAAAATCCTGTCTTAATTGAAATCGTAATACTAAATCACATTTTTTTTGTTAGAGCACTGTTTTTTGGTATAGGTATTATAATGATTTGTGGATATCATATAGCTGCTCTCACAGCCATCTTCTACAATCACTTTTCTCACACTTTGTTCTATGAAAACCTCATCGATAAGAAGGTTTACTATTGAAATTTTCTCATTTATGATTTTTGTCATCATTATGATGTAAGGATGATCAATGCAATCTGAAACAGCTTTATTGTTCACAGTTAAAAAAGACTGATAAAAACTGGCTTGATAATATTGCTTGATTAGAATGTTCATTGTATTTAAATGAAGAAAATTTAGAATGGTAGTTTCTTCTAAATAATACAAAAAAAAAAGATGATAAAGAAACTCTACGGATAGTGTCTAATTATTTTAATATATACAATTAATTGAGATGGAATTAGCATAAAATAATCCATCCATGCAATCCTCTCTCTCCCTCTCTGCATATACTCTCACTCACAAATCGTCATAACGACCACTTTCAAACATGGCATTTCGATATAAAGTATAATTACTATAGTGCAGTGATGAAAGCTGTGAATAATATACTAACACCGTCACGAATAGATTTCTACTGAAAAAAAAGCATAAAGTGAGACTTGAAAATAAAAGTAGATATGCATAAAAATTTTAAGAAAGAAAAAACATGGAATTCAAAAAAAAAATATTGTCAATTTATTGTTGTGTAGCACCTAGAGAAAAATGAGATGAGCTTGCGGATAATTGAGGAAAATTATCGCCGCATGTTCAACTTAGATACACGCCAATCATCAATAGCAAGCCGCTTGAAAACAATACCTGCATTTTTCTATTCATTGTTGAGTTTTTGTAGCCCGGGGGAATCAATGAAAGTTGGACCATAAAAGATGGAAGTAAAAGCAATAAAACAAAAATTTAGTGGAAGACAATTCTTACTCAAAGAAAAGAACCACTTTATTACATGATATGAATATAATGTATGATATGAATATACTGAAAAATATTACCGTAGCTTAAAACATGAAAGAAATGAAACCTTAGAAAACGTCCGGCAGTGATATGTAATGTAGTGGATTTTTTCAGGATACTTTTCAGACCATTTGTTACGCTTACACTTTCACTTGTCGACCGGCCACGTGGTATCACTTGTTGTTCGACGACTAGAACCGAAATTAGCGAGCAATATGAATTCATTTTTTTTTTAATTTATTCAAGTTAGTCGATAAATTAAAAACTTAAAGTAATAACCACCAAGACAGAAATCTATTTTATGGCATAATTCGAAAGCTCGTAGCAAATTTATGACTTATTAAATTCAAGTTTGAAAGCATCCATTTCCAAGTACTTACCGTATTGGAAAGGAACATTGCTGACTGAAATTGGTGAGCATCCAGGTGATGAGGCAGGTGAACTGTTCGATGAACTAAGTGATGACATGCCCGAATCGATGCTACCTACTGGACTGTTAAATCTGAAGAAATCTTAACAATTACTTTGGAATAGAAAATCAATCGCAGTGAAAAAAGTGTTGTGTGAATCAAAAATTAAGAAATGACTGTAAGATCAATAAAAGCATTTTTTTTATTATTTAAAGGTGATTTGTGCTCCCTTTTTCAATTTCAATGGATGGAAGTATATTATGTGGGAAAAAAACACGCATTAATTTTTACAATCGCTTGCAAGAGATCACATCAATTAAAAGACAACCTTACAAAAAGGAGAAAAAATTGCCCTTTTCCAACAGTTGTTTTTGAAAAAAAAAGAAATTTTTTAATCATTGAAAGTTTCTAAAAGTTTAAAAATAAGCAATAAATAGATATATTATTGAAACGGAATAAGCTACTTATAAAGTAATCACAAGAAGTTCTTTTAAATTTTAATCAACATTAGAATAACGATTATTGTTAGCCGTAAAGTTCT